GTGGAAATATATAAAATAATGTTTTAGACTGCATTTGGCCATTAAAGAAACAACATATGCTTCTCTGCATCTCTGATAAAATCTGGGTACAAGATTGAAAGGAATGTCTTATTCACTACATTTAGTAATTACTTGTTTTTCTAAAGTCTAAGATAGATAGATTTTTCTATGCCAGCTAAGATAGAAAAGACAAGCTAGCTACTTGATTGTGTCAGTAGGTGCTGTAGGTGGGTGTGGTGTGGAATCAGGCGCAGGACGCAGAAGTTAAGTCCAACAAAGACTTTTAGTAGAGCACACAAAAAACACAATCCAAACAGCCCGGAGGCGAGAAAATGCGCACACAGGCGTAAAGAAACGGGCGCACTAAACATGTGCGAAAATCCTCTCCTAAAATACAAAGGAGGCAAGCTACAAATAGCGCACCGAAAAGGGTAGCGCACCAACACGACATAGGAAACAATCACTCACAACACCTGACAAACACTACGAGAACTTATAGGACACTAATGACACTAAACGACAACAGGTGTACAATTCCAGACAAGACCAAACGAACATAGAAACATACAACGGTGGCAGCTAGTATTCCGGAGACGACGAACGCCGAAGCCTGCCCGAGCAAGGAAGAGAGGCAGCCTCGGCCGAAACCGTGACAGGCTTCTTGGTAGCTAGTTATGAGGTTGGGAGATTGGGAACCTATCTGGGCTAGCTAAAGCCAACTTCATAAAATGTCTAGGTGGCTAGTAGTATTACAGAGAAACAACAACCAAAAATTAAACAAAAACAATATTGGGGCACGTGCCACTGTGCCCCCTATGGTCATGACGCCACTGCTACAGTTGACCGGAGCCCCATAGGCCCTGGTCAAAAGTAGTGCACTATTTAGGGAACAGGGTGCCGTTTGGGACTGTATCCTCCACTTTACTTTACTATGGCCCAACTGAGTGTAAAGTACTCCAAGGGTATGTTTGTCCCCTTTACTCTAGCCCTTACAACTTGTATGGTCTGAAATGAAAAGTAAGCATGTTTTTCTTATTTTGTCAGTCTCTATGGTCAACTAAGTGTCCTCGAGTTCATTTTGAAAACAGTTTGGGTGTTAGACCTAACCCAAGTCATTTCGCCTGTGAAATGTATACCTCATTCCACCGTAACAGGGTTAGGCTGAGCAGGGTCACATAGAGTAGGGGGGAAGGGGGACGCAGACTGGCTTTACCGTCTCTCCTGGAGTGAGAGGGAGATCAGAGAGTCCAAGAGCGTCCTGACCCCCCACACCCCTGTTTGTCCCCCTCCTTGTCCCTTACAGCTGTGTGGCTGAGCCTAGGAGATCCTCTTTCACTCTCTGCCACATGCCAAGTCCAAGCAGCCAGAGAAAAGGTCTATCATCAAAAACGCTTCATCACTTTAATCAACCACACACTCATGTGCAGCAGTAAAGACTCCCTCTCCATACAGTACCATGACATTCTCAGCCCATACTGGACGTTAGATAAATGTTAGATAAATGGGAGATTGGGGTTAGATAGCATCTGTCTCTATCAAAACACCTAAATAATGTACTGGCAGTAGCCTCTAATTAAATTCCTAGTAGGGCACACAGAACAACATAATTGAACACCAATGAACAATGCAGAACTGACTGTCTCAGGTGGCGGCAGCGCCATACATCAGATCTCTTTCATTATTTTGTTCAGAGGGCAGCAGCGTCATGCCTGTTGTAGTATTCAGTGGGCGAGGAGGGGCGGGGAGCCTCATTCCAGGCTTTTCATCAGATTGATTTCCTTGCTGTGACTCCTGGTCTCAGTGGGCTGAATGGGGCAGTGTAGACCACCCCAGACTGATTTACCCATGACGCAGTGAACCTCTGTGAAGCCCACAGATCATTCCAGAAGGCACTGCCCTGTGAGTGATCTCCTCCTCCTTGTCAGTGATCTCCCCCTGTGTTTAGACAGACCGACCCTCTGCTGAGAATACCAATGTGCAATGGGGCAAACAGGGGGGAGGGACACTCGAGACCAAGAGGAGACTCACAGTCTCCTCAACATCCTCTTCAACATGCAGCCAGAGAAGTTTGTTTACATGGTGCTCACTGAGTTTAGACAAACCTTGCTGAGAACTTGGGGGTTTCAGAATGCTGAATTGCTGTTTTTGGTTACGGTTATAATTATTGTAAATTGGTACAACATATTATGAGGTCTCAGCCTCTCACAAACCTTACATAAGGCATTGTGTGTGCTGTGTCTGTGTGAGAGAGAGAAACCCTATGCATATTATAAAGGTTGGTGTTTGCTCTCCTCTGATGTGTCCCATTCAAGTAGAAGTGGTTAACTGCCATGTTGTTGTGGTGTTGTTTTGCTCTTGCGTGGAAGTAAGAGTTAAAAGGAACATCCCTAACATGCATCAATGGAATTTGACGACCTGTTTATTGGTCATCTGAGACATATAGCTTCCACATGGTCCAGTCAAGACCAATGGCACAACTCAGCCGCATTTGGAACAGCTTACAACACACTTTTTGTAGGCAGAGAGAGGAAGCGAGAACAAAACCACCCTGTCACAATCTAATGTCCGGCATGACATCACTCTTTATAGTCTTGAGTTTCTGCATTAAAAATGCCTATACACATAAAAACACATACACAGAACCATAGTTTGATTTTAGACTATAGTTCTCCCAAAGTTTGAACAATACTTCCTTTGTGACTGAAAGAAGCAGTCAGTCAGTCAGTTACCGGCCTCTTCCTGATGTGGGGAAGCACATTTTTCATAAATGAATCACCTTCTTTGACAGTCTGACCTGGGTAAACAAACAGAGAGGCAGTGCCGGCAAGGGAGAGAGGTGGAGGAGAAGGGTAAGGAGTTGGGGTGGGAGGGCAGCTGTTAGTTCTTCAGCCTGTACTACAGACAGAGTGCTGAGGCTTATTCCGGCTGCCCTCTCTTCCTGGACGAGTGGAGCAGAGGGGGGGGGTTGGGGGTTGTGTCTGCTGCTCAGGCCCCCAAGGTGAAAGGGTGCCACACACGGACCCTGCAAACGGAGGCGACTGCTGCCAGACAACACTCTCAATGTGACTCTGACAGTCAGAGGTAGATACAGTTGAAGTTGGAAGTTTCCATAGACTTAGGTTGGAGTCATTAAAACTCGTTTTTTAACCACTACACAAATGTCTTGTTAACAAACTATAGTTTTGGCAAGTCGGTTAGGACATCTACTTTGTGCATGACACAAGTAATTTTTCCAACAATTGTTTACAGACAGATTATTTCACTTATAATTCACTGTATCACAATTCCAGTGGGTCAGAAGTTCACATACACTAAGTTGACTGTGCCTTTAAACAGCTTGGAAAATTCCAGAAAATTATGTCATGGCTTTAGAAGCTTCTGATAGGCTAATTGACATCATTTGAGGTCTACCTTCAAACTCAGTGCCTCTTTGCTTGACATCATGGGAAAATGAAAAGAAATCAGCCAAGACCTCAGAAAAAAATTGTAGACCTCCACAAGTATGGTTCATCCTTGGGAACAATTTCCAAACGCCTGAAGGTACCACGTTCATCTGTACAAACAATAGTACGCAAGTATAAACAGCATGGGACCACGCAGTCGTCATACCGCTCGAGAAGGAGACGCGTTTTGTCTCCTAGAGATGAATGTACTTTGGTGCGAAAAGTGAAAATCAATCCCAGAACAACAGCAAAGGACCTTGTGAAGATGCTGGAGGAAACAGGTACAAAAGTATCTATATCCACAGTAAAACAAGTCCTATATCGACATAACCTGAAATGCCGCTCAGCAAGGAAGAAGGCACTGCTCCAAAACCGCCATAAAAAAGCCAGACTACGGTTTGCAACTGCACATTTGGACAAATATCGTACTTTTTGGTGAACTGTCCTCTGGTCTGATGAAACAAAAATAGAACTGTTTGGCCATAATGACCACAGTTATGTTTGAAGGAAAAAGGGGGTGGGCTTACAAGCCGAAGAACATCATCCCAACCGTGAAGCATGGGGGTGGCAGCATCATACTGTGGGGGTGCTTTGCTGCAGGAGGGACTGGTGCACTTCACAAAATAGATGGCTTCATGAGGAAGGAAAATTATGTGGATATATTGAAGCAACATCTCAAGACATCAGTCTGGAAGTTAAAGCTTGGTCGCAAATGGGTCTTCCAAATGGACAATGACCCCAAGCATACTTCCAAAGTTGTGGCAAAATGGCTTAAGGACAACAAAGTCAAGCTACTGGAGTGGCCATCACAAAGCCCTGACCTCAATCCTATAGAAAATGTGTGGACAGAACTGAAAAAGCGTGTGCGAGCAAGGAGGCCTACAAACCTGACTCAGTTACACCAGCTCTGTCAGGAGGAATGGGCCAAAATTCACCCACCTTATTGTGGGAAGCTTGTGGAAGGCTACCCGAAACGTGTGACCCAAGTTAAACAATTTAAAGGCAATGCTACCAATTACAAATTGAGTGTATGTAAACTTCTGACCCACTGGGAATGTGATGAAAGAAATAAAAGCTGAAAGAAATAATTATCTCTACTTTTATTCTGACATTTCACATTCTTAAAATAAAGTGGTGATCCTAACTGACCTAAGACAGGGAATTTTTACCAGGATTAAATGTCAGGAATTGTGAAAAACTGAGTTGAAATGTATTTGGCTAAGGTGTATGTAAACTTCCGACTTCAACTGTATGCCGTCTGGATGTCTACACTACACTGTCTGTCTGCCTGCATGCTGGACATACACACTAGTCTAGTGAACTCACTATTGCTCCATCTCCCCCCTCTCTCTCGCCCCTTTCTCTCACCCTCTCTCTCTCTCTCTCCCCTCTCTCTCCCTCTCTCCCTCCCCTCTCTCTCCCCCTCTCTCTCCCCCCCTTTCTCTCCCTCTCTCTCTCCCTCTCTCCAGACTTCCCATATGTATGTGATTTAAGCTCAGGCTCTGGGGAGAGGCAGGTCCGCTGGGGGAGGCATAGGGGGGAGTTGAGAGGAGAGGGGGAGGAGAGAGAGGAGGAAGTCCACACAGTTTTACAGGACTTGGGGCTGGGCTGGCGCAGGCACTGCATCTGGAGGTCGGACCAGTGGAGAAGTGAAACCAACGGGTGCAGTGGAGCGAGGGAGAGAGAGAGAGCTGCCTGTGTCCCAGAGAGACTTCACTACAGACAGGACAGGGAGAGACAGAGAGGGAGAGGGAGCAGTGCTCCACTGGACTAACACACAGACATGTCTGCTACTAGAGCTCTGCCCTGCCTCTGCCTTGTTTTCTCCAGCATCCTCTCAGGGATCGTCTGCCCAGCGGCTCCCAATGGTTTAAATTTGGAACAGCGTTCGGTGGTGAAAGTAAGACCAGACTTTTAGTTTTTCCTCTGCTTGGCTGGTACAGGATGCATAGCAGGCTTCCAGTGTCTTATCACAGCTAAATATAGAGGGCCTGTTGTTGTTGCAAACTTTTCCACGACTGTGAAAAGAGTCATATCCTTTGGACTGTATCATGTCAAAGAATTGTGCTGAATGCTTCTGTAGCTAAACCCTAATGGGTTTAGATTTGAAAGCCACTGTAAGACAGACAGGTTTGTGAGTCAGTCAGTGTGCTTCTTAGACATTTGTGAAGTGCTGGGTGGGTTTGGGTGTGAGAGGATCTTGCTGCGTGGATCCATATCTCTATGGCCGCACTCTGGCCACTCAGTGCTGCGTCTCAACCCTCTGTGTTCCGCCTGGGGTCGGGCTATTAGTGGCGGAGCTCCAGCCGAGACCCCGATGAGGGCCGTGCCATTCTCTACTGGCACCCACTGGCCCCCGATAGAGCCCTAATGGAAACCAGCTGCCAAGTGTTGAGCAACACACATAGAGGGAACACAGAGGGCAGAAAGGGCATGAGAAACAATACAAGATGTGCTGCTGACATATTTATAGTGGGTAGACTGGGTACAGGCTGATATTTCCTGTTTGTGGGCCAATGGAGACCCAAAGAATGGGCATCTAGCTTAAAGAGGCCTTCTTCTATCTCAGGGGGACACAAGCAAAACAATGTGTCCAGAGCTAGACTAATGTAAGAACAATGAATTGAATAGCTAGATGTGTGTGGGGGGAGGGGCAGGGAGCAGACCCCCCATAGTGTTTCGATTGAGAATTGATGATCTTCCGCCTCTTGTGAAATGTGAAGATTGTTTACTTGTTCTGTGAGCATTCTAATACCAGAGTCCCATGAGGAGAATGAGGCCTCTCCACTGCAGACATATCGTCTCTGCTCTGTTATTGGATTATGATGAAATTCACATGACCTAACCAGGCCCTTTTCCCCCAGTGTCTTCCGAGAAGTTTACCACTAAGCCAGGGACTGAAGCCTGCACCAGGGCCAAAGTCAATAAGCTATCTGCCCCTTATTGTGAGGAGTGGGATCAGGGAGGAAGAGGGTGCACATGGTTTGTTGTTCCCATTGCAAAGAGAGAAAGATGCCACAGCCACACAGTCCCACAGCCTCAGACCTGAAGTTGTTGACTTTGGACTGAATTCCTGTTTGAAGCCAATTCTTGTTTTTTTGCCTGAGCTCAAACCCACTGTATTTATTCAGCGCTGTCCCAGAGGCAGAGATAGAGGCAGACTCATGGTGAATCTTGTGAATCTAATAAAGTAGGCCTACTATAGAACTTCTGAACACATGATATGAACAGCTAGTGATAAACGCATACCATTTAACAATGTTCAGTCCTGTTAGAAGTGGAACACATTGACCTAGTCTTTGGGACATGCTGCTGCATATGAAACACAGAAAGGCTATACTGCATGGTGAATGTCATCTTTGTTCTCTACAGTAGTGGGCACACAGAGAAGAAGTTCAGAAATTGCTCACATTACAGGGGACATTCATAGAGGACCAGAAGGCTACAGATGTGAATTATTTCAATGTTCATGCCACTTAGGAGCGGATTAGAGCACTCACCATGCTGTAAAATCTTATTGAGGGGTTCATTTTCAGTATCACAGGATTACTCCCTATGCCCAGGGGAAATATCACCGAAAGTTTGGGCTTGGTTTTTGAATGAAAGGGGATTCTAAACTAAATGAAATGTTAATGAAAGCATTAATACGAACAGGAAATAATGTAATTAGATATGACATGGTGCAAAGGCTGCTGGGTTGTATACACACTTCTACATTTTGCGTCCCAAATGGCACCCTATTCCCTATATAGTGCACTACCTTTGACCAGAACCCTACTGTATTGGCCTTGGTGGTCAAAAGTAGTGTACTATGTAGGGAATAGGGTGCCATTTGGGACATACATAGCCTATCCCACACTAAACCATCTGCTGATTCTGCTCCATCTTTCCCAGGAACCTCTTGTCCCATGGGTCTGGTTGTATATGCATCATCCAGCTGTTTGGCCCATCACAGGATGTCACACAGCTAATCATTCTAAATCCAGTCATTAGCAATGAAGGGTCATTCTTCAGCACTGTCAGCCACCACTACAACTGGTGGACTAACATTCTGTGGTGGAGTAGAACCCTTGTCCAATGGCCTCATCTGTGATATGGATCTCTAGACTGCTTATCGTCCCAGGACCCAGTCAGATCATTTTACATTATGTCTGGCCTAGTTTATAACACCTACTCTTTAGTATGTCATTTTACTTTTTATTTTTTTACATTTTTAGTCATTTTAGCAGACACTCTTATCCAGAGCGACTTACAGTTAGTGAGTGCATACATTCTTCATACTGGCCCCCCGTGGGAATCGAACCCACAACTCTGGCGTTGCAAGCACCATGCTCTACCAACTGAGCTACAGGAGTTGTAATGCAAACATACTGTATGTGTGTGCACATAAGGTCAGTAGAATTGATTGAACTAACCTGTAGTCCATATAACCAGGACATCATATAACATCATAACAATATGATGTATAAGTCTGTTCTTATTTACTTTGCTTACTATAGGTCAGAAAAGCCACAGGAAGGAAGGGGCTACAGGAAAAATCTGCTCTGGTCATGAAAGCACTGCTGTTCACAGGATGTTTCACATTAGTTCACTGGAGAGGCATTTCTTTGTCTCACGGCCTGCTCCGAATAAATCAAGGGAAAATATGCATCACAACTGGGTGCATACAGTATCTCTGGAATGTATATAACGTATTTGTGCCAGCCACTCTGGACACAGCATCAATGTCCAATTGACTGGATGGAACAAGGGGGCAAAACTTGGCATTCTTACAGCAGGCCAATATGAACAGAGTAGTATTGTATGATCAGAGCGCTCTTTGAATGGGGTGACCGAAGATCAAAGTGATGTGTGTGTGTGTGTGTGTGTGGGGGGGGGGGGGTTACTGAACTCTGACATCACACTGCAGTAGGAAACCGCCTCTAAGTGGATTTACATCTACCAGACGTGGGGTGATTAAAAGTACTGTCTCATATATTCCGTGTCGGCCGTGTGAGGAAGGAACTCTGAGATGTCGGAGCTGGGACTGTCGTTCCCACATCCCTGAAGTTTAATCCACACCACTACCAGTGGCAGAGTGAATTGGGAACAATTGTTTTGTGTAACTGACATTCTGTAAATGCCTGATAAGTATTATAGAGTAGTATCCAGTATGTAATAATTTTGTCCTGGTCAAGTACTGTACTTAGCTCTCACATCTTACAGTAGCTGAATAAGAGAGCCTCTTTTCCTACGAAGGAACGTGAGTGTGTTTGATAAGAGATGTTGTGGAAAACAGTGGAACGTTGTATTCCATTGATGACAGACATCCTAAGCCAGTCTGGCCAAAATGATTCCAGGTGCTCTACTTTCTGAAATTGCTGTTGAATGATAGAGTGCCTCGTTAGCAATTTGGCATTAATGTCAGGAACCCAGCTGCTCTCTGGTCAATATGTTTCTAATTCTGCAGCCATTAAACTGGTTCATTTTAAGATAGATCAGATTCAGGGGCACATTTTTATTTGTATGAAACTGAGGTTGTACTCTGTTTTAAAAAATCTCCCTCATGTTCCCTCTCCTAGGTGTGTGCAAAAGGATATTTCCTCAGTAACCAGAACAAATGCCTACCATGTAACTGCAAAGGCCATTCAGAAACGTGTGAGGACATCACAGGCATTTGTATAGTAAGTATTTTCCCATGTATTACATCCTCTTTATTAATCATTATTACACTGTGGTGTAATAGATTACAATCTTTAGATTACAATCTAATATCATATCAGTAATAGTGTTCAACTAGATTACACTCTTTAGGGTAGAGTTGGGTAAGTTGAGCTGTTTTTTACATTCAGCATCACTCCTTCATGGGAAATATAGTATTCTTTCTCTCAAAGATATCTACATATATTTTAGGGTGATGTGTATGCCTGGAAATAATCAGAATTCATGTAAACATTACAGTTTTGAAAACATAGCTTGTCCAAAAAAAGTGGTCTCTTGGCACAACTTACTCCGGTCCGGGTATGGGGTAAGTTGAGCCGCGGGATAGGTTAGGTTAAGCCGCCTTCAACGTTCTGTACTGAATTCAATATTACCACTACCTATTTAAAACCATGTTTATCTTAATTTCCCAAACACAATTCAACACAATCAAAATAATTTTGGTCTTTTAATCATTTTAAGCATCTTTTAACACCGGCTTAACAGCAAACAAACACTTTGTACTTTTTAAAACACTTTTAACATAGGCCAGGCTCTGTTGTTACCTCATATCCCAGCGATAATGCCTTGCATTACGTCTGGGAAGAAAACACTTCAACTTACCCCAAGGCCAATGGCTCAACTTACCCCAAGGCAAACATTTTTACTATATTAGCCCACACAGCCACAAGGATGAACTTTCATGCTAGGTTTAGGAACTCATATTCAAGCTTATAGAGACCCCAACCTCAATTTACCCCAATCTCCCCTACCATACAGTCATGTCAGGACCACACCACTGGGGATTTCTGTGAGATCTGTGAAGATGGATACATGCCTGACGTCACCACATACGGACGACACTCCTGCCGGCCGTGCGCCTGTCCCCTCTCTATCCCCTCCAACAAGTAAGCCATAGAGTCCGTACATCCAGACCCTACTGTTGTGTCGGCCCTCCAGGGAGAAGCCTCCCACTAGGCAGAAACTGGTTGAATCAACGTTGTTTCCACGTCATAAAAAAATACAAATCCGATGACGTTGAATCAATGTGAAAAACTGATTGGATTTGCAAAAAGTCATCAACGTTAGGGAATTTCGTCTTTTTCTCACCCAACTTTTAATGACATTTGTTGCTGATTTCACGTTGAATTCACGTTAGCCAACCAAATGTCAATCAAAACTAGACGCTGAAATGACGTCTGTGCCCAGTGGGCTGTGTGTTGGCAGGCAGAGCTCACTGACTGACATTCTTTCCCCTGTGTGTCTGGCCAGCTTTGCAGAGCACTGTGACAGAAGCAGTAACATCCTACGGTGCAAGTGCCAAGAGGGCTATGCTGGACATTACTGTGAGAGGTCAGTGCTGACAGGGACTTGGCTTGGCCACAACCATGGGTTACTGCAACTCCACCACGGGAGCAATTACACTCATAACATTAAATCAGCTCAAATAGCCACAAATTAATCTCTTGCATTTTCACTATTTCTACATTTTGAATACGGGCCGATTTTTCTCAACATGAAAGGAAAATATTTGGAAATGCTTTCAAATAACAGTAATGTTTCAGTATAAGTGATAAGACATCCTAAGTCAAACAATTATTGGCAATCACCTTGCATCTTCCTCACCCAGATGTGCTCCAGGTTTCTATGGCAACCCCATGGTGATTGGTGACTCCTGTAAAAGGTGTGACTGTAACGGTAACTCGGACCCCAACCACATCTTCAATGAGTGCCACAACGTGACCGGCTTCTGTCAGAACTGCTGGGCGGACACGGCTGGAGCCAACTGTGAACGGTGTGCCCCGGGTTTCTACGGCGATGCCATCAGTGCCAAGAACTGCAGAGGTGCGTGCCAACTGTCAAGAGTACTATTAAACATGACTTACCCTAAGGCCGTTGCTCCACTAAGTCAAGTCAGCCCTACAGTCAATGAAGACTACCCATGGAAAATCATCCAGGAAAAAAACAGATATTTATATGTCTAAAAATGATACCCACTTGTCTGGAGGGTGAAGATATGTCCATGAGCAGTCATTTGCCATGCTCAACTCTGTATTTGAACCCTGCTTTTACCTTGCTCTTTGTCTTAAAGGTTTACTATGGCTTTGCCTTCAATAGAGCTCTAACAATTCCCCCTTGTGTTGCTCATAATGGGTGTTATAGACATAAGCAAATCACAAAGCTCTATGTGAAACGAAGTCTATTTTGTGTGTTTCCACAGTTTGGCAGGCTGGGTAGTGAGAATTCCTGCCATGCTCTAATGACACAAGACCTGCATGCCTCAGAGACAGTACAGTAGAACACATATACACTGATGTGCACATGGCACAAGGTTAAGAATAGCATCATGGAAAGTCAAGCTCTAGTAACTCTATGAGAAAAAGAGTCAATCTTCTGGTCACTTGTAGAAAACGTCATAGAATACTAGTGGACATGGGAAACTCCTTGTCAATCTGTTGCAGGATTAGCATTTGTATTTTAGGCCTCCGCAAGGACAAAAATAACCTTTTCTATTGTGGCCATGTAATACTTCTTTGACCTGTGCTGTATTAACTATGAGTGTGTCCTGAGCTACAGCGTGTGAGTGCAGTAAGTGCGGGACAGCTTCGTGTGATGACAGGACCGGGACGTGTCACTGTAAGCCTGGTGTCACCGGCCGACTCTGTGACCAATGTGAGGTGAGTCGCTCAAGGGCCTTATCAAGGCGAGCCTTACAACCATGTTGTCACACATTCACACTGTTGGACAGTCTTTCCTTATAACTAAGCAAATCAGGTGTAGAAGAGAGCAGACAAGATTATTTGGGCTACTGTGAATATACACTGCTCAGAAAAATAAAGGGAACACTTAAACAACACATCCTAGATCTGAATGAATGAAATTATCTTATTAAATACTTTTTTCTTTACATAGTTGAATGTGCTGACAACAAAATCACACAAAAATTATCAATGGAGATCAAATGTATCAACCCATGGAGGTCTGGATTTGGAGTCACCCTCAAAATTAAAGTGGAAAACCACACTAGAGGCTGATCCAACTTTGATGTAATGTCCTTAAAACAAGTCAAAATGAGGCTCAGTAGTGTGTGTGGCCTCCACGTGCCTGTATGACCTCCCTACAACGCCTGGGCATGCTCCGGATTAGGTGGCCAACTCCTGGACAGTCTGTGGTGCAACGTGGCATTGGAGGATGGAGCGAGACATGATGTCCCAGATGTGCTCAATTGGATTCAGGTCTGGGGAACGGGCGGGCCAGTCCATAGCATCAATGCCTTCCTCTTGCAGGAACTGCTGACACACTCCAGCCACATGAGGTCTAGCATTGTCTTGCATTAGGAGGAACCCAGGGCCAACCGCACCAGCATATGGTCTCACAAGGGGTCTGAGGATCTCATCTCGGTACCTAATGGCAGTCAGGCTACCTCTGGCGAGCACATGGAGGGCTGTGCGGCCCCCCAAAGAAATGCCACCCCACACCATGACTGACCCACCGCCAAACCGGTCATGCTGGAGGATTTTGCAGGCAGCAGAACGTTCTCCACGGCTTCTCCAGACTCTGTCACGTCTGTCACATGTGCTCAGTGTGAACCTGCTTTCATCTGTGAAGAGCACAGGGCGCCAGTGGCGAATTTGCCAATGTTGGTGTTCTCTGGCAAATGCCAAACGTCCTGCACGGTGTTGGGCTGTAAGCACAACCCCCACCTGTGGACGTCGGGCCCTCATACCACCCTCATGGAGTCTGTTTCTGACTGTTTGAGCAGACACATGCACATTTGTGGCCTGCTGGAGGTCATTTTGCAGGGCTCTGGCAGTGCTCCTCCTGCTCCTCCTTGCACAAAGGCGGAGGTAGCGGTCCTGCTGCTGGGTTGTTGCACTCCTACGGCCTCCTCCACGTCTCCTGATGTACTGGCCTGTCTCCTGGTAGCGCCTCCATGCTCTGGACACTACGCTGACAGACACAGCAAACCTTCTTGCCACAGCTCGCATTGATGTGCCATCCTGGATGAGCTGCACTACCTGAGCCACTTGTGTAGAGTGAAAGCACCGCCAGCATTCAAAAGTGACCAAAACATCAGCCAGGAAGCATAGGAACTGAGAAGTGGTCTGTGGTCACCACCTGCAGAACCACTTCTTTATTGGGGGTGTCTTGCTAATTGCCTATAATTTCCACCTGTTGTCTATTCCATTTGCACAACAGCATGTGAAATGTATTGTCAATCAGTGTTGCTTCCTAAGTGGACAGTTTGATTTCACAGAAGTGTGATTGACTTGGAGTTACATTGTGTTGTTTAAGTGTTCCCTTTATTTTTTTGAGCAGTGTATAATTAACAACAGCAAGAACAACAATTACAAGCAAAACTAACTATAAGGCTTGTGTCTATAATGTGCTTTAGGAGGGTCACACAGGTTTCAACGGTTGCCAGGGCTGCCGGAGGTGTGACTGTGGGCCTGCCGGTCTCCGGCCTACCTGTCATCCTCTGACCCACAGCTGCCAGTGCCAACCAGGGGCCGGAGGCCGATACTGCGAGCGCTGCCTCCCAGACCACTGGAACTACGGCCCCTCAGGGTGCCAGAGTAAGTCTTGTATCTGTCTAATTTTATGTTACCATACTCCCGTCTCAATCACCAACATGCAGGATATCCTGGAATCAAAAGCTAGTGTCTGTCATACATGTAAAAACTCACCCTCTCTGTGTTTCACACATTCAAGAACATAAACCACCCAGACCAGTTTGGTCAAACATTCAGAACAGATTATGTTTTTCCCAGAGTTTTACTGCAGCTAGCTAGCCAGTCCACCGTACCCACACCCACTCATACATGATGTCAGGCAGGCATCCGCTGCGATCTGCAACCCCAGGGCCAGCTGTACACATCTGTACACAACCACAGGGACAGACTGCAGCTAGCATCCGACTTTCCTCTGACATCACCTCCCAGCCCCAATTTATCTGGCCAGCTGCCAAAACCATCCCACAGCCACAGTACAGAGAACCAGGGAACCAAGTTCAAGTTTGATTTGTCACATGCACAAGTATAGTGAAATGCTTAAAGCTGCAATGTAACTTTTGGGCGACCCAACCAAATTCACATCGAAATGTGAGTTATAGATCTGTCATTCTCGTTAAGAAGAGGTAGAGCTGTTGCGCTATTTCTATGCTTCCCGTTCTTAACTTTAGTTTTTGCGTCTTTTACTTTGGTTTTGTACACCAGCTTCAAACAGCTGAAAATACAATATCTTTGGTTATTGAAAATATATTTCACAGCGGTTTAGATGGTCCAATGATTCTCTACACTATGCATAGATTGTTTTGTCCCATAAACTGAAATTAGGCGAACTATTAGAATATTTGCAACCAGGAAATGGCGGAACGAATTCGGCAAATTGCACCTTTCACTTGCAGGCCCTACCCAACAGTGCAGTATTCAATATCAAAAAAGTATAAATAATAAGAAGCTATATACAGTACAAGGTCAGTGCCAGTACCAAAGCACTCAGCATGTGCAGCAGCACTCCTTCCCAGCCATAATCCTCACCATGGGTTCCATCATATTTTTGGTACCCAGACTGACTCTCACATGTCCAGCTGATAAAGCATTAAACTTGATGAAGGGAACTCGACATGTAATCAACTGTAGCTATATGAAGTGGATGTGTGTGTCTGTTTCTTCCATCCAGAATGTGACTGTGCAAGCGGCCACTGTGACATGCACACTGGGGAATGTCTCCCTGAAGCACCCACGGTCAACCTCTGCAACATCAGTAAGAGGGCCTGGTTAGAAATAAAAATGAACTTTTCAGTTCATCTTAAACAACCATTTATTTGTGTTGGACGTTAGCATGATGTGATGTTGGGGAAATAACATAGAAAATAATTTGCGTTTAATTTGGTTCCTCCCTCCTATCAGGTTGTGATGAGTGTATCTGGCACCTGATTGGTGACCTGAAGCTGTCCAATAAGACGCTGGACCAGGTGAAGGTCAGTGTGTTGAACATCTCCACTGGGGCTGCAGCCAATGACAGACTCAAGTACTACAACTACACTGCCCTCCGTCTGCAGGTACAGTAGAGCCTCTCTTTCTGCTCACGCTGATATAGTTTGGACTCAATTATGTTTATACACAACTATATTATCAGTTCATTCTGATTTAAATAAGAGAAATAAGCAAATCAACTTCAGGAGTTTTACTATTACAAAGCCACTGGCTATTGGCAAATCTCACACACTAAACACCCAACCAACCACCCAACCAACCAACCAACCGACTAACCTACCAATACACCAACCATTGTACAGTGCACATCACACACTTTTCTTCTCACAATCCTAACATGCATTTACTGTATTGTAATAGTATTGTGTAAGTGCATCTAATTTCTCCTATGTTTTGTTTTCAGACTCAGTTTATGAACTGGAGGAATAAGTCAGCTCTGATGAGTACACAGACGGGGCATCTGGAGGAGGCCAGTGCTGCTCTACTCTCAGACATGAACCATCTGGCAGAGACAGTAAGAGGACACCTTCATCACTCATCTAACTCACTCACACTCCTCTTCCTCCCTCTTTCACTGTTTACATTACTCTGGAGGTAAAATAAAGTCCACATACAGAAAACTATTTATATTGGGCACAACATAATCCGAAACACAACCAAAACAAACTTCAAATGCATCCAACAAGTTTGTAAAGTCACAAGCTTGATGTAGTCATTGCATGCTAGGAATATGGGGCAAATTACTAAACTTTTGACCAACTATAAGTGAATTTGTCCAAATATTTTTGGTAAAACAGATATGTATGAATACCCTAGAATAAAACGTGACATTCTGTACTGTCACCTGAGAAAAAACATTTGACCTCAAATAGAAATACCTGGAGGAAAATAACTTCACTGTCCAAATAAATACATAGGGAAGTGTAATTCAGTTAGCTTATCTCTCAGAGCCATCAAATCTATTTTATTGAGCTGTAGTGGTAGTGTCCTGACTGTGTGATTGATTTGTGTGTTCTGTGGTGTTTGTCATGTCTTGACTTTGTCACTGATCTGTGTGGTGTTTGTGGTGGGCCAGGAGAATGTAGTGAAGTCCATGGGGGACAGAGTGGATGAAGACACACTACAAAGCGTCACTCTGGCTGACGAGCTGACCACTAACCTCACCGCCCTTAACGTACTCATTGAAGGTATTTTTAAGCGTGCTAAAGCTACACTGCTATGCCTCTTTGAGTACCGTACACCTCCCTGAGATTATTAAGGCTTTTATGTATGTTATAAATGTTGATATATGATATCCAATAACTTTTGAATGCCGCCTTGCTTTAAGATTTAAATCCAAATCACCGTTGCTGTATTTCCTACTGTCATCCATTTATCAGCGTTTTACTTATTTACGAGGGGTGCTTCTGGTAACGAGGCCTCAGTCACATCCCAGCCTTCCTTCACCCTGTGCTCTGTGTTATGTTTGTGTCTCACAGAAATGATCAGTGACTGGGAGCTGTACAGTGTACATCAGGACCTGGACCCAGAGGTCATCAGAAAGAAGACGGCCATGGCCGAGGGCATGGTGACCTTGATGAAGAAACTGGACCTGTCCCCACGAGAGCCCATCGCCACCGATGAGTCCACTGAGGCCCACGACCGTGAGGACAACACGTGCATGCGCACACACACACAAACACACACACATTTTTGATGATGTGTTACAAGAGGCTGCATTTGTGGTCCTGTTTGTGTGTTGTCCAGTCCTTAGACGCATGCGTCAGCTGGAGAAGAAGCTGATCAGTACAGACGGCCGTGTGGCCCCAGTACGGGAGGTGCTCTTCCGCTTCACCAAAAAGCTCTCTGAGGCCCAGGAGATCCTCCAGAAGGCTGCCAACACTGTCCAAGAGACGGAGGACATGAACAAGGCCAACACCGTCAAATTCCAGAGGAGTGAGGTAACTTCCACGAACCCGGACTCCGCTTGGCCCAGACCGTGCCGCCGGGAGCCGCTCTCCTCCTGGCTCCCCAAATGTCTCTAGCTGACTTCCTGACTGGCTGCCTGACTGACTGACTGACTGACTGACTGACTGACTGCTTGCCTAACTCCCTGGCTCTCTGGTTCCCTGACTCCCTGCTCTCTATGTTCGTCAGCATGGGTTTCATTACTACAGCTCACTGTGAGAATGCCCTGCTAAAAAGATAAGTGCAGCTCAAGCCTGCTCTGGGGGAGTTTGATGTTGTTCAGTTCTGCCTCAGTGCAGTCTACCTCTATCTTCCCCCTGAATGTTGCACGAGTTCAGCTTGGCTTTATCACTGGGAAGCAACACTGTCCTGCTCCTGCCAAGGAATACACCAGATCATTTCTCTCTATCTACCGTACATTATGGGGATTGTTATTGTTCCCAAAGTCTGCCAGAGAACTCAATTACCCATGGTATTTAGTAGTAGAGAACAGTAACACAGAAACAGCTGTTATGGATTGTTAGGAGGCACAAACTGGGGGAGATGCATTACTGCACAACACAATCATATCCCAATATTAAGAGGCTGTGCCCCTTAGAGTTAAATACCTACAGCTGCTTCACATTGAATGGGGTATCATGTGTATAGTCATTTTGTAAAGCTCCTTAACATTTATTTCAGTCTGGGGCGTTTCTGTTCTGCTTTTTAGATCACAAATACAATACAACAGCCCTGTTGTTCCTATACATTATGGTGTGAAAACCTGAGGGATTGTGATAATTTTTATAACACAGACTGGCCTGTTGTCATGCTCAAGTTGACATTATGGGCCCATTGTGGTTGTGCTCCAGTGGAGCTTGGAGCAGCCAGCTGCTGCAGTGCTGTATGTGTGTGTTATCTCCATGATCAGGGCCTCTGCTGTAAACCAATGCCATGAATGGTGCACTGTCCAAACAGGAGGCCTCCCATAATCTGGGGCTCTTCCTTCCCAAAGCAGATTGGTCAACACTAGTCGTAGCAACAGAAACAAAGCCAGGGTTACTATGGGGGTAGGATGATGTTACTGTACTATACTTATATCTTTGTCAACAAATATCTCTATCTTTGGGGCAAAACACATTTAAGGTCTTTCATAGTTTTAATTTGACATTTCATATTATTGTACCTACTTTTATGATAAGAATGTTCATATGGGAGACATACATAACCTGTACTCACTACACATATTGTATACTCTCTGTACCAGTGGAGGCTGGTGGGAGGAGCTATTGGAGGATGGGCTCATTGTAATGGCTGAAATGGAACGGAGTCAAACGTGGTTTCCATATGTTTGATGTGTTTGATACCATTATATTTATTCCATTCCAGCCATTACAATGAGCCTGTCCTCCTATAGCTCCTCCCACCAGCCTCCTCTGCTCTGTACTAAAACAGAAAGATATGACTGAACATCAGGCTACTATAATGTATTCAAGTAGTCACCAGTCCTGTCCACTCTCTCTCCCAGGCCAAGCAGCAGAAACTGATGGAAAACTACGAAGCTGTGAATGACACCTTGCAGACTGCTGAAGACCTCATCATGGACACTGAGAATACTGTTGCTGAGATGGATCTCCTGGTGCAGGTAAGTTCTCTTTCTGTACACACCACAGTCACCATTAACCTATTCCTGAAAGCTTTGTATTTTGGACCCACTGAATGAGGTCACCTGTATTATACATGTAATTACGATGGATTGGATTGTTTCAGTGCATGTTTTGAATACAGTGCCTTCAGAAAGTATTCATAACCCTTTACTTATTCCACATTATGTTGTGCCTGAATTCAAAATTGATGAAATATACTTTTTATTTCTCACCCATCTACCCCATAATGACAAAGTGAAGACATGTTTTTAGAAAATGTTTGCAAATGTATTGAAAATTAAATGCAGAAATATCTAATTTTGGGGGCCTCCCGAGTGGAAAAGCGGTCTAAGGCACTGCATCGCAGTGCTAGAGGCGTCACTACAAACCCGGGTTCGACCCCAGGCTGCGTCGCAGCCGGCTACGACCGGGAGACCCATGAGGTGGCGCACAATTGGCCCAGCGTCGTCCGGGTTAGGGGAGGGTTTGGCCGGCTGGGATGTCCTTGTCCCATCACGCTCTAGCGACTCCTTGTGGCGGGCCGGGCGCATGCACGCTGACTTCAGTTTTCTCCGACACATTGGTGCGGCTGGCTTCCGGGTTAAGCGAGCAGTGTGTCAAGAAGCAGTGCGGCTTGGCGGGGTCGTGTTTCGGAGGACGCATGGCTCTCGACCTTTGCCTCACCCGAGTCTGTACGGGAGTTGCAGCGATGGGACAAGATTGCAACTACCAATTGGATATCATGAAATTGGGGAGAAAAAGGGGCAAAAAGTACACACAAAAAAAACAAAAAAAACAAACAAAAAATATATATATATATATATATCTCATTTACATACATATTCACACCCCTGAGTCAATACATGTTAGAATCACCTTTGGCAGCGATTACAGCTGTGAGTCTTTCTGGGTAAGTCTCTAAGAGCTTTGCACACCTGGATTGTACAATATTTGCAAATGATTATTAAAAAAATTATTTAAGATCTGTCAAGTTAGTTGTTGATCATTGCTGGACAGCCATTTTCAAGTCTTGCCATAGATTTTCAAGCCAATTTAAGTCAAAACTGGAACTAGGCTACTCAGGAACATTCAATGTCATTTTGGTAAACAACTCAGGTGTATATTTAGCCTTGTGTTTTAGTGTATTGTCCTGCTAAAAGGTGAATTTGTCTCCCAGTGTCTGTTGGAAAGCAGACTGAACCAGGTTTTCCACTAGGATTGTGCATGTGCTTAGCTCTATTCCGTTAATTTTTCTCCTGAAAAAAACTCCCTAGTCCTTGCCGATGACAAGCATACCCATAATATGATGCAGCCACCACCATGCTTGAAAATATGAAGAGTGGTACTCAGTGATGTGTTATGTTGGTTTTGCCCCAACATAATGCTTTGTATTCAGGACATAAAGTTCTTTTTTTTTGCCAATTTTTTGAAGTTTTACTTTAGTGCCTTATTCAGGATGCATGTTTTGGAAAATGTGTATTTTGGACAGGCTTCCTTCTTTTCACACTGTCATTTAGGTTAGTATTGTGGAGTAACTACAATGTTGTTGATCCATTTTCAGTTTTCTCCTATCACAGTCATTAAACTTTGTAAAGGTTTTAAAGTCATCATTGGCCTCATGGTGAAATCCCTGAGTGGTTTCCTTCCTCTCCGGCAACTGAGTATCGATACAAAGTCCAAAGTGTAATTAATCACTTCACCATGCTCAAAAGGATATTGAACGTCTGCTTTTTTTTTGCCCATCTACCAATAGGTGCCCTTCTTTGCGAGGCATTGGAAAACCTCCCTGGTCTTTGTGGTTGAATCTGTCTTTGAAATTCAGTGCTCGACTGAGGGATCTTACAGATCATTGTATTTGTGGGTTACAAAGATGAGGTAGTCATTCAAAAATCATGTTAAACACTATTATTGCATACAGAGTGAGTCAATGCAACATATCATGTGACTTGTTAAGCAAAGTTTTACTCCTGAACTTATTTAGGCTTGCCGTAAAAGGGGTTGGAATTCTTATTGACTCAAGACATTTCAGCTTTTCAGTTGTATTAATTAGTAAACATTTCTCAAAACATAATTCCACTTTGACATTATGGGGTATTGTGTGTAGGCCAGTGACATAAAATCTAAATGTAATCCATTTTGAATTCAGGCCTTAACACAACACAATGTGGAAAAAGTCAAGGGGTGTGAATACTATTTAAAGGCACTGTATGGCATAACAGGGAGAGTACCATGTATTGACCATGCACTTAGTATGAATCCATGACAAATCTAACAGACACCCAAAATGATATTACCACATTTTTGGAATTGCATGAGATCAAAAACGCTGATGCAAACTCTGACGCCCTCTGATGGCATTTTCTAAACAACTCATAATATTGTATACTACCCTCATTAAGTACATTTCGGTTTCAAATACTTCAGGATTTTGGAAATGAAGCACTTTGTCTTTTTCCCCAGAGTCAGATGAACTCATGGATACCATTTGTATGTCTGTGCATGAAGAATGTTGCTAACTACCATTAGCGCAATTGCTAACTAGCGTTAGCACAATGACTGAACATCAATGGTAAGCATAGGGCTTCATTGCCAAAATCCCGAGGTATCCCTTTAAGTCAATTGCCTGTCTATTGGTTTAGTCAGTGGGGAAATAGAATCATTCAGAGTTAACTTTGTTAGTTAAGTCTTAGAATGGGGTCTGTATCTGTGTAGAACGTGACTGAGTACCACGCTGCGATCGATGGCGCCAGCAAGCTGCTGCAGGAGAAGACTGAGGCGCTGTCCCTGGCAGACAGAGACCTGGTCCAGAGAGCCCAGGACCACGCAAAGGATCTACAGAGTCAAGCGGACGAGCTGGAGTAGTGAGTAGTAGTGATGTTATTTAGTAGTGATCTCATAATGGCATCACTCTAATGCACATCACATTGTAGAACCAACCAACTAACTACTAAACACGACTACACTTGATTACCCACTTTATTCCATTATAATGCAGACCACATTCAAGAACAAAACCACCATTGAACATGTTTATCCAACACTGATCAACACTCAATCACACTTTACTTGAAGCACAAATGAGTAGTGCAGTAGTAGTATCACAGTTAAAAGTAGGCCAACACTACAGCTATGTTCTTTATCCTTAATGCTTTACAAAGACGTTGTTGTACGTTTCTTTTCACCTAGTGATCTGAAACGCAGCGATGCCAACGGATTCGTGCAGAATGCTCTGGATGCAGCCAATGTATACAACAACATAGTCCAGTACATTGAAGAGGCCAACATCACTGGACTGACAACACTGGATTTAGCAACAAGAGCTGAGGATGTAGGTAGTCTGAAATGTGCAGCAGTTAGCTACATTAGCTACATACAGTATTTAGGCTAATATAGAGTGGTTTTCAATTGATAAGCTAAAAGTGTGCTGTCTATGGCAGGCCATCAATGGGATCAACACACAACTGGGATTCCTGAAGACCCAGAGTGACAACATCTTCAAGGAATCTATTTCATTGCGTTCTGAGCAACTTGGTATGACATATTTTTTAGATTGAGCATTGTCTGATTATTGTTAGACTAGATTGTACAGGTTCTCCTCAATGATGCATGTGTGAATTATTTCAACAGAGGTTGAAGCTGAGGTTCTGGACAAGATTAAATATATTGAGGAGACCAAGGAGACCATGGATGACAACACCAAAAAACTAGCGGAAGTACTGAAAGATATCAAGGGAATTGAGCCAGGTAAAACACATTCTTGTTCTGGACCATAGCCTATCTAGGGTCTCTGACATACACATAATTGTATTCACTGCCATTCCAAGATTGCTCTCCTCATCTCTGTACTGAATTTGTTGTTCTGAATTCCACTCTGACCTTCCAGACAGAACCACCAAGCGTCTGGAGCTCACCAAGGAGGTGGCTGAAGGCACCCTTAACCACTCCGTGGAGGTCCTGCAGACCATCACCCCCATCCACGAGAAGGTAGAGGAGTGGGCCACCAACATGAAGAACCAAGATTACTCTGCTGCAGCCTTCGACCGTGCTGTAGTCTCCGCTGGGGAAGCAGGTACAGTACACTCATTAACACTTCTACAGTATTTCAATCCTCAACAGAGAGGACTAAATGACTAAGCATTACACTCAAACTAGTAAGTGTTAATTGAAGAAAAAAGTGGTTGTTGTTAATTATTGTAATCTTTCTCTCCATCCATGGTGGGGTTTTTAGTTGAGAACCTGTCTGAGCTGGTTCCTGAGCTGCTGGACAAGCTGCGTGTCATTGAGGAGAAGAAGCCAGTGAACAACGTGACCACCAACATCATCAGGATCAGAGAGCTCATCGCCCAGGCCAGGAGTGTGGCCAAGAAGGTCAATATTATCACCTGAACAATCACTAATATCACAACCGAAATGTACTTTCAACCACCAATGAAAAACCCTGTATAGTCTTGTGTTACTATAATCCCAAGTCTTGTTCATAATCGAGTCCTGTATGACACAGATATATCATGTTTTGTTACACCATAGGTCCAAGTGTCCATGAAGTTCAACGGTCAGTCGTCGGTTGAGGTGCAGCCCCACACCAACGTGGCGGACCTTAAGACAGTGACCACCATCAGCCTGTTCATCAGGGTGGACCCAGATAAGGACCCTATTGAGGACCGCTTCATCTTCTATCTGGGTGACAGAAACGTGAGGAGGCTGGGGGGAGAGGGGGGAACAGGGAATAGGGGGCTGGTGCTGGGTTCAGCAGCTTGGCTCTTTTCTAAGGCAGATCTATTTGTCCTGTATAGCCGACTCCTTTTGTTGTCATGCCACAACCATGGGAGTTAGCCATTCAGCATAAACACATCTGGGATCAGGCTAGCAATGAGCAGTATATAACACATAAATCCCTGTCATAATACTGAGGTATTTTTCTATTGTGTGCAAGAAGTGGGTGGGTGGGAGGAGGGGGTTGCAGAATGGCCCAGATCTGCTATTGAAACTTCGCAGACTTGGAACCTGAGGATGGCTTGAGATAAAAGGGAGAGAGCAGCTTGTGTGCAGATTAATGGTTTGTTGTGATCATGTGAGCAGAACAGGCCTTTGAGAGCAGACAGTTGCCTTTTTCAAAAGGTTTCCAGGAGACGCCTGTTGTTTGTGCATTTGCCTTCAAAGTCAGGGCTCATTTACATAAATGCCGTTACCCCCCATCCACAGGAGCTTAATGACGGCAGAGCTCTCCTCTCTGGGCCTCTCTGTTCTCTTTAATGATGCTGCTTACCCTGGTGACACTGCTGTAAATTATACAGTGGTGTTTGTGTAAGTCTGCTTGATGCTTAAAAATGGCACTCTGTGACCCTTCGTTGGTTTTATAAAGCAAAGATTAGGAGATTTTCCTGAATAAGATCGCAGGCAGGGATTCCATATTACAGTACATGCATTATGTTGTATAAAACCTGTCACCTTGGTTTCTCTCCTACATATCATATAGGGTAAGAAAGACTACATGGGTCTGGCTATCAAGAATGACAACCTGGTGTACGTCTACAACCTGGGAGGGGAAGATGTTGAAATCCCGCTGGGTTCAAAGCCTGTCAGCCAATGGCCTCCAGTCTTCAACCTCATCAAAGTGGAGAGGTACAGTAGTGCGTTATCTAAGCAACAGATCCAGTCACACAGATAGACTGGCATAGCCTGGTAGCAGATCAGCTAATGCTTATTAGACAAGACATCTGTCGTGTCTGTTGTCATGCCGTGCATGTTTCATGACTGACAACCAATGACAAAGAACTTGGCTAAAGCACATACTGTCCAGATTTGCGAACTTGCTAAAGACCGTCCATCCATTCACACACACAGGACACCTGTCTAGTCTAACCACTCACAGGGAGCTATGAGGCTGTTCTGCCCATGCAGGATGTAATGGTGTTGATGTGACTGATTATTCACGCCGCTTTGTGTCTTTGTTTTGACAGGCTGGGCAGACATGGAAAAGTGTTCCTTACCGTACCCAGTCAGACGTCCACTGACGAGCAGAAGTTCATCCAAAAGGGCGAAGCCTTTGGCACCGACTCCCTGTTCAACCTGGACCCTGAAGACACTGTCTTCTTCGTGGGTGGTGTCCCCACTGATGTCAAGGTACGGTATTACTTTCTAACAGGATATGACATCAACCTCTGATCAGAGTTCTGTGGCATTGGCTAATGCATAGCAGACCATTTCCATCATACAGTGTTGATGTAAACTGTACTTCACCCATGAACCATTGACACAGCAGGATTGAATCAGTATTGTGATGACTCTCTATGTACTTTTCCCTTCCAAGATAAGATTCTGAATGTTTGGTTTTTCTTGTAGCTTCCACCTGCACTCAGCCTAGCTCCTTTCGTGGGCTGCATCGAGTTGGCCTCTTTGAATAACGATGTCATCAGTCTGTACAATTTCAAACAGACCCACAAGATGGATGTAGTTGCTTCAACACCTTGTCCCAGGTATGATATACTGTATCTTGTCCAGACGTTTTTGTTGGGAACTTTAGATATTACCTCTGCCCTTAAAGGGTCCACATGTCTCCATCTGAGGCTCCTTCAGACAAGTCACTTCATTTCGACTTAACTGTAACATTGAACCCCGGGACCACCCATACACAAAAATGTATGCACGCAATGTATGCACGCAAAAATGTAAGTCGCTTTGGATAAAAGCGTCTGCTAAATGGCATATTATTATTATTATTATTATTATTATTGTTTTCTTTGCCCTATCAGGTATAAGCTGGCATTCTCACAGAGTCGTATCGCCAGCTACCTGTTTGACGGAACTGGATATGCCCTCATCAACAACATGGAAAGGAGGGGTAAATTTGGCATTGTCACCCGGTTTGACATTGCTGTTCGGACAGTAGCAAACAACGGCATCCTGTTACTCATGGTCAACGGGGTAAATATAGTAGTGAAAATGTCACCTTTAGTTTTGAACCAGCAACATAGTCAGTCAGTCAGTGATGCAGTGCTATGCCTTGCAATACTTCTATCACGATCGTCGGGAACAGATGAGGACCAAGACGCAGCGTTGCAAGCAAACATACTCTTTATTTAGCGATCATCCGACAAAATAAACAAACGATAACGTGACAGTTCACGGTCTAACACAAACCAACTCGAAACAAGATCCCACAACAACTGTGGGAAAACAGCCTGTATAAATATGGTTCCCAATCAGAGACAACCAGCAACAGCTGACACTCGTTGCCTCTGATTGGGAACCAATCTGGCCAACATAGAAATGCAACCACTAGAATAAACAAATGAAACGCACACCCTGGCTCAACATACAAGTATCCCCAGAGCCAGGGCGTGACAGTACCCCCCCCTAAAGGCGCGGACTCCGACCGCGTCAACTAAATACCACAGGGGAGGGACCGGGTGGGCACTCCGCCTTGGCGGCGGATCCGGCTCCGGGCCTGATCCCCACTCCCTCTCCAACCCCCCAAAGTACCCCTGGTCCGGTCTGGCCCCGCTGACCGGAGCTGGACTGCACACTGGTGGAGCGGATTGCTCTAGCTCCGGCGTGAAGCAGCTGACCGGTGCCGGACCAGGCACCGGTGGAACAGGCACGGGCCGTGCCGGACTGACGACGCACACCACTGGCTCGGTGCGGGGAGCAGGAACAGGCCGGGCCGGGCTGGCGACGCGCCCCATAGGCTCGGTGCGGGGAGCAGGAACAGGCCGGACCGGACTTGCGACGCACACCACTGGCTTGGTTTGGGGAACAGGCACGGGCCGTGCCGGACTGACGACGCACACCACTGGCTTGGTGTGGGGAACGGGCACGGGCCGTGCCGGACTGACGACGCACACCACTGGCTTGGTGTGGGGAACAGGCACGGGCCGTGCCGGACTGACGACGCACACCACTGGCTCGGTGCGGGGAGCAGGAACAGGCCGGGCCGGGCTGGCGACGCGCCCCATAGGCTCGGTGCGGGGAGCAGGAACAGGCCGGACCGGACTTGCGACGCACACCACTGGCTTGGTGTGGGGAACAGGCACGGGCCGTGCCGGACTGACGACGCACACCACTGGCTTGGTGTGGGGAACGGGCACGGGCCGTGCCGGACTGACGACGCACACCACTGGCTTGGTGTGGGGAACAGGCACGGGCCGTGCCGGACTGACGACGCACACCACTGGCTTGGTGTGGGGAGCAGGAGCGGGCCGGACCGGGCTGGCGACGCGCACCATAGGCTCGGTGCGGGGAGCAGGAACAGGCCGGGCCGGGCTGGCGACGCGCACCATAGGCTCGGTGCGGGGAGCAGGAACAGGCCGGGCCGGGCTGGCGACGCGCACCATAGGCTCGGTGCGGGGAGCAGGAACAGGCCGGGCCGGGCTGGCGACGCGCACCATAGGCTCGGTGCGGGGAGCAGGAACAGGCCGGACCGGGCTGGCGACGCGCACCACAGGCTCGATGCGAGGAACAGGAACAGGCCGGACCGTACTGGGGACACACACCACTGGCCCTATGCAGGGATCAGGAACGGGCCGGACCGGACTGGTAACACACCCCAGTACCTCTCGCCGTGCCTCCACACTTTCCCTCTCCTCTGTGACCAGTGGCCCCCTTAACCTGGCGGCCTCCTCTGCACACCCGCTGGACCGCTCCATCGCGGCCTCCTGCTGCCCCGTCGTCCCCGGCGTGAGCCCCCCCCCTAAAAAATGTCTGGGGGTCTCTCCTCCCCGTGGGCCAGGCCTCTATAGTTCTCGCCCAACTCTCGCTCTTCTGCTTCCAACTCCAGCCATTCTGCTCTTCATTTGGCTTGACCCAGTCGAGACTCTTCCTCCACTGTTCCCACGTCCACCCTCTCTGCTCTTCACTAGGCTTGACCCAGTCGAGGCTGCCACGGAGATCTGCTAGCGATTCCCCTGGCGATGGCTCCTGGACACGCTGCTTGGTCCAGTTTTGGTGGGATCTTCTATCACGATCGCCGGGAACACCAGAGAGCATAGAGAGATTTACCAATACTTTTTCTGCATCATGTAACTTGGAAGAATGACTCTAGAAAAAAACAATAATTCAATAATTATTTCCAGGACAACTTCTTCCTGTTAGAGTTGAAGAATGGCTTCCTACGTCTCATGTACGACTTTGGCTTCAGTGGAGGCCCGATCGTCATGGAGAGTAACTTACCTAAACTACAGATCAATGACGCAAGATACCATGAGGTAAATCTAAATCAACCCATTGTCTTTCTGTCGGCAGGGGTGTGCCTATTGAGATGTGAATTAAATTAATGTCCTTTCAACAGTAGGCCTAATCCAATCTAAGCTGTGCTGGGTTTTTTTTTATAGGTGTCAATCATCTATCATTACTCCAAGAAGATCATTCTATTGGTGGACAAGAGTCACGTGAAGTCCATGGAGAATGAGAAAAAAACGCTGCCCTTCTCCGATATCTACATAGGTGGGGCCCCCTTGCGCATTCTCCTCTCCAGGTGAGTCAGTTACCTAACCACACACGTGCACTTCCTCACACCAATCCGAGGACCTTAAGAGGTCTAACTTTGAAAGTATAGTTGACAATTGTAACACAATATCAACAGATTATAACATTTGCATTAGACTGAGTACAGTTGGACAGCAGGGTTTTGATTGTTCCGGCTGGTTTGTTCCCCAATGCCCTATGTGACTCTGAGCCTATTCCCTCTCCCCCAGGCCTGAGCTGTCCTCCCTGATGGGGCTGAAGGGCTGTGTGAAGGGCTTCCAGTTCCAGAAGAAAGACTTTAACCTCCTGGAGGAACCTGGCACTATTGGCATCAGCAGCGGTTGTCCTGAGGAGTCCTTTGTATGTCCTGTAATCCATATGAAAGGCTACTAGATAAAGCATCAGTAGTGTATACAGAATCAACTGAACTACAATAGTTGACAATGTCCCTGTTGTGTCTTGGATTCTAACAGATGTCCCGTAAAGCCTACTTCACTGGAGAGAGCTACCTGGGGTCTGCAGCAAAGATATCTCCCTTCGACGCCTTTGAGGGAGGCCTTAACTTCAGGACACTGCAGCCTACTGGTCTCCTGTTCTACCACATCGAAGGGGTATACTGATTCTTGCCTGAATAAATAGTTTTTTTTTCATATGAGTTCCAAAGGAACTGCAAAGGAAATACATCTGTTGTTTGACTGCAAACTCTCTTCCTCCTTTAGTCTGATGAGTTTACCATCGCCCTGGAGAACGGAGCAGTGGTATTGAACTCCAGAGGCACCAGAGTCAAATCACAGAAGAAGCAGTACAACGATGGAATGACCCATTTCCTGGTAGCTTCAGTGAATAATGACAAGTAAGAATCCAATGTATCCTAAAAACATCTTGTGCCAAGTATTTTTTACGATATTGCCTCGCTGTCAAGCCATATTTATATTTCTTCATATTTAAAAGTGTGATTTAAAAGCAAAATGTATTATAATTATTCACTGTAACAATTGACCGATTACTATCTATCTCTATCAGATATGAGCTGGTGGTGGATGACAAAGACAAGCATGAGAAGAAACGTCCGTCCTCCGCCCCCTCAGCCTCCACAGTGAGGAGCTTCTACTTAGGAGGCTCTCCCAGTAGCAACATCAAGAACTTCACTGGCTGCATCAGCTACGCCTACATCAGCAGGTGACCTGGCCACTCTCTCACTGCCACAGCACTCAGACCACATTAAAAGCCTAATGCAATTGATGTAATGGATTGTAATGGATTGCATCTAATACTAGCAAGTGAAAGAGTCCAAGTGTGACACACTTCCTATCTGCAGAGAACGTTGTTATGATAGCATGCTTATTGGTCATTTGGCTCAGGTTGGTTGGTGAAAACCGAGCTGCCTAGCTGTATCTATGAGAGGAAGAAAGCCAGGCACAGGAATAGCGCTGCTGTTGAGAGCGGGTTGGGAGGATATGGAGTTTGTTTCCATGGAGACAGAGTTGTGTGTGTGTGTGTGAGTATCTCTATGGCTCTTATGTCTTTGGCACTGAGTTGCTAGTCTCTCTCTCTCTTTCTCTCTTTCTCTCTTCAGACAAGACAGGGATATTGAGCCTGAGGACTTTCAGAAGTACACTGAGAATGTCCAGACCTCCCTGCAGGACTGCCCTGTGGAGCGACCGCCCGCTGCCCTGCTCTCTAAGCACAGCAAAAACTCTGCCAAAACCAAGCAGGGCCATACTAGGAAGGTAAATAAATAATGATAATTTAAATACATGTCATTTAACTCAAGTTTGGCTTCTAAAATTATTTTTTTATTTATGCCTGCCAATGCGGATACAAATCGTAAATGTAGTATGTATTCATAAAAAATCCCTGTCTTTTCAAGTCTTAAAAGAGTCTATAATCACTTAAAGCTGGAATCCTTAATTGGTGAAACTGCCACATCCATTTGGGATATTACAATAACAAAGAAGTTACTCCAAACAACGAACACTGTTTCCTCGGACATCATTGAACAGCAGAATATGTAGTGCCAATTTTTTTCCCACGCTGCCGGAGGCTCCTTTCCCCACAATAGCAAAGGCGCTGGGGCAAACAGTAGCGCTGCTTCCCCCTAGTTTCGATCTTTAAAGATGACACTGTATACTGAACAATAGGCATGCATTGACCCACTACTAACAGTCAAGTAACTTCCCTTCTCTCACTAAGGTGGGCAGAGACAAGTCCAACCAGCCACAAGGCCTGTTGGGACTGAAGAGTGATGAGCAGGAGCCAGGAGAGACAGAGGAGACACCATGCTACCTGTCCGCCAGGCCCCGTGCCACCCGCCACGCCCACCACTACGGGGGTATCACCAACAGCAGGCAGGAGTACACTGACATCCCAGAGTCCCTCACTGAGAGGTAAGTCCAGGACAGGGAAGAACACTCGGGTTGCATCCCAAATAGCACCCTATTCCCTATATAGTGTAATACTTTTGACCAGGGCCAATAGATGCGGTAAAGAGGTCAATGGAACTCAACCAAAACAATGGAAATGCTATTGAGACGCGTGGAGGAAAAAATGCAGTCTGGGAAAGATCCCGAATCTCCTCATTGCCCCCCAGCAAAATTCTCCTACATTTAGCCTATTGTTTACATGTGTATTTCACACTATGTTGAGGTAAAAATGGTATAATACTTTTATGGATGTCAACCCCAATACATGTTCATGTCATTGTCACCAATCAACTGCATTACAGTTTAAAATGACTTTGACTACCACCACCGATTTCTGTATGCTAGCTACTGTATGCTACCAGCTTATATGAACAGGAGTTAGCATTTAGCATACACTTCCTCTAAACCTGAAAAGGGACAACTTCTAAATGTTATGCAGCAAAAACAGCCAAAGATATCCAAATCAGACTTTATTAACCACATTGTGGGCCTGTTACAATACATCAATCATGACGGATTTGATGAATTTCCACTTTGTTAGATCAATCCGGCGTCCTTCTTCTATCCTCCACGGTCTGCATTCCATTGACCTCTTTACCGCATCTATAGGGCTCTGGTCAAGTAGTACACTGTAAAGGGAATAGGCTGACATTTGGGACACAACCTGAGGTTACAACCATAGGTCATTGTTCAACCAGACGTCAACCAGAGGTCAACCAAAGGTCAATCATGAACCCACTCTACACATGAACTCCACTCTGTTTTCTTGGTCTAAGTACTAGTCACATGCACTTTACTCTGGGTCTCTGAGTAATGGTTTAAGTATAGTTACTTATAATTGCTTATAATTAAGCAATAAGGCTCGAGGTGGTATGGTATATGGCCACTATAGCACGGCTAAGGGCTGTTCTTATGCACGACGCAACGCGGAGTGCCTGAATACAGAAGTTAGCCGTGGTATATTGGCCATATACCATAAACCCCTGAGGTGCTTTATTGCTATTATAAACTGGTTACCAACATAATGACAACAGTATAGGTCTTCTATAAAACGGGTTGCTTGGATCCTGGATGCTGATTGGTTGATATGCGGGAGTTGTGGGACAACCATGACGTGTTAATGTCATAATTCCATGTCCCCTAGCCCAGGCAGGAAATTCATAAACTTAATCTCCCTCAGGGAAAAAAGCATCTACAGCATTATTTTTCCATGCTGCTATTTGGTTTGCAACAGTTGGGGGTTGTATAAACCTACCTGTCTGCCTCTACTACCTGTGCAACAATGTATCATTTTACAAATGCGGTCTCTCCTGTGCCAGTAGGCTAGCTAGCTAGCCCAAGAATGACCGCAAAACTAATAATTCACCATGGAAACCATAAACAGAGCAGTGCGGCCTATGTAGGCCTGTTGGATATTTATTAAATCATTATTTATTAAAGTTCTGCTAGCTACAAGCAACGTCGAATGAATAGAATGATTAGAATTAACGGCTGGGTCAAAACATGAGAAAATAACTAACGACCAGCCCGCTTGGGTAGCAACTTCAGAATGCAAAAACGAATTTACTAAAATCATGTTTTTAATGAAAAAATGTAATTCATATTTTTCTAAATATGTTGGTAACCGTTTTATAAAAGCAATAAGGCCCTCGAACCCTTCTCAGGCCTTAGTGCTTAAATATACCACGGCTTTCAGCCAATCAGCATTCAGGGCTCAAATCACCCGGTTTATAATGCACCTTTTACCCCCAGGTCTCACTTCTCCCTGTCCCTGAAGACCCAGTCCTTGTTTGGCCTCATCTTTTATGCATCAGACGAGGCAGAGGACAACTACATGGCTCTGTTCCTGGCCCATGGGAAGCTGGTGTACACCTTCAACCTGGGTCAACAACGGGTCAAGGTCAAGAGCCAGGAGAAGTACAACGACGGAACATGGCACAATGTAAGTAAATGTACTTATTCCCCATTATCCATATACTAAAATACATCACTTTTACCTCTGACATCCGTCACACATAAATAGATTGTTCTATGAGATAAGCCACTTGTTTTCAGCAGTGACATACCACACCACAGTGTGACAGCCCTGTCCCTCCTCCTGCAGGTCATTTTTATTCGTGATGGGAATCTGGGCCGATTAATCATTGATGGACTGACGCTGCTGGAGGATAGAGCTCAGGGCTCCAACGTCTCCTGGCACGTCAGCAGCCCCCTCTATGTGGGAGGGGTGCCACCAGGGAAGGCCCAGCAGAACTTACTGGTAAGATACAGCCCTTAGCGCCCAGGGCCGCATCCCAAATGGCACCCTATTCCCTATGTAGTGCACTACTTTTGACCAGGGTCAAAAAGTTGTGCACTATATAGGGAATAAGGTGCCATCTGGGATGCAGCCCTGGGCCTAGTAGACTACTGAAGGAAAATGGAGCAGAATATGTTTTTACAGTGGAATCCTGGAAACACATGAAAACCCTGGCCAAGAACGTTAAAGAAGAATAAAAGAGTGAAAATCCTAACCTTTTGATAAAGAGCATTATAAGAGATGTCTGGGATGATTTATGGTCCTCTAGTCTTTTCTGCCATTATATGTTCACACTGGGAGCCATCCAAGTATTTTCACTTCAGACTGCTGTGTTCAGATGATACGTTTCCCACAGAAAACAGGAAACCATCAACGTGACCCCTCTCTGCTTTAAACTCTGCATGACCGCATCTGATAGTGGAACATATTTCCTACAGATATCTGTACTACCACCCATTTACACTTTCCTGTGCTGTATTTGCCTCCTATAGAGAAACTCTGCGTACAGCTTCACTGGCTGTGTGAAGAACCTCCAGCTGAATGGCCAATGGCTGTCCTCCGTGTCCCAGACCTTCGGGGTGACGCCGTGCTTCGAGGGACTTTCTGAGCCGGGGACATACTTCTCTGAAGAGGGAGGATATGTCATCTTCGGTAACACACAAACACACTTTGCCAAGACTCTCCATTTTGCTAGGAATTAAGACAGCAATGACATCTGATTCTCCTCAAGGCCCTTCTGGCTTCATACTGTGGCTGAACCTTACCAGATTAATTTGAAGTATGATACCAAAGGAAAAGCTTGTGAAACATTGATTTGCTGCAATCTTCAGGACATACTTTGGCAGCGCCTGTAGCTGTTTGGAAACAACGTGTCTGTTATATCACACGCCATGTTAGATTTTCTCTGGAAAGCAGAGAAAACCCCTGGGCTGCTCACCAATCACCAGAGACGTGGAAGCAGAGAGGCTCTAGACAGGATATCGGAATTTGATATCCCCAGTGCAGCTGTGGTGAAAATTTGGCCTGGTGGAAAAGTTGAGGGCGGGGAGGAGAGCTGCAGACCCAAGGGTCTTGGAAGCCAAGCTGCAGCTGTTTGAATGAGCGCAGAGCAATTTCACACCCTACTGTGGCTGGCTAAGTTTCACATGTGCACATGCCTCATTGGGCCGAAGCGCAGTGAAACATTCCATGTTACAGCCGTTAAAGGTGAGGTTCAGAACGGACAGAGGGGGTGGTAGAGCAGACTTTACTTGAATTACTCTTTCTGTCCGTCTCCCTCAGATGACACGTTCAACCTGGGGCTGAAGTTTGAGCTGGTGGTGGAGGTGCGCCCTCGTGTGGCGTCAGGGGTGCTACTGCACGTCTACACAGCAGCTGAGGAGTACCTAACCATGTATATTCATCAAGGAGCGGTAAGCAACTAATACAATGTAATCAGTAGTAATTTGCTAATTTGCTATTAGTAGATCTTTGACTTGTCATCAATGCAAGTATTGTTCTATGCTCACAGGTGCTGGTGCTGGTGAACAATGGGGTCCGTGAGTTCTTCACTCAGGTCACTCCTAGACTGGGTCTGTGTGATGGGAACTGGCACAGGATCACAGGTAAGAGACCTCCCTTCATTGCATTGACTGCCCCTGATTTAAACAGTATGGGACCACGGTTAATTTGCAATGATTGGCCAATGTCATGTACAGTGACTGACAACAATGTGTTCTGTTGTCCTTTCTGCCTCTGGTTCACAGTGATCCGAGATGCCAATGTAGTCCAGCTGGATGTGGACTCAGAGGTCAACCATGTGGTGGGACCTCTCAACCCCAGTGCCCAGAGTGCCAGGACCCCTGTGTTCATTGGTGGAGCTCCAGGTCAGCGGCAAGGCCATGTATTTCAAGACTACTGAACTTCACACAAAAGTGTTTTTGCTAGACTCAATATCTGACATTCCAACTAACAAAACACATCCAAACTGTTGCACTTGCAACTTTTATAGGTTACAGGGTGAGGCAGCACTATCAACCTTGAGTTTGCAAAATAAAAGGAAATGTGTTTTTAATGTTGTTTATTATATATCTTCCTAGAATCTCTTCTCCCAGAAGGCATTGCCACAAGGAGGGCCTACACAGGCTGTATGAGGAACCTGATGGTGAACGAGAGCCAAGTGATCTTCAGCAAAGCTGCCCTGGTCAGCGGGGCCGTCAGTGTGGGCTCCTGTCCAGCTGCCTAAAGGGCCTGTCATAACCAATACAGCCCAGCTCTCCAGCAACAAATTCTGCTTCCTAACAAGTTTCCACACGGTCAATAAAGCATGATAAGCCATTTTCATTGTGTTTTAAATTGTCTATTCTTGTTCGATGTTCACGAGCACGTTTGTTTTTATTTGGAAAAGAGAATGACCCGGTAACGTAACCAACCCTGCAATATGAATTAGTTTCACATGAGAAAATATCCCCCAAAAGAGTTTCCCAAAGAGTCTCAGTATTTTTATTTCTTTCAAGGACTGCAACATGATGTGATTAAGGACCACTGCTCATATTATAGCCAACTGAAGAAGGCTTGTAAATGTAGCTTCATTTTCTTAAAGGCCCAGTACAGTCAAAATGCATTGTTTTATATCATATTGTACAACAGCTGATGAAACTAACACTGTAAAAGTGTGAGATTTTTTTTTATCAATGTTATTTCCTGATAATCTACACAGGACCTTCTAATCAGCAGGTTTGCATGGGCGGCATTTTTGTTTTTTCATGGTGACATCACCATGCAGTACATCGGTTGATAGACCAATAACAAAGAGTTCCAAACCTCTCTGCCAATAACAGCTAGTTTTTAGTTTTCCACTCCCCACCATTCCCAGACAGTACTAGCAAAATTGTTTTTTGCAAAAAAAATATTTTTGCCCATTTTAATGGAAATCTATTACAGTAAGGTAGTTAACTGTTACCCAGAAATGATTTGATATTGATATATATATATATATATATATTTTTTTTTTTTTAAGACTGCATTGGGCCTTTAATCTACATTGAGACAACTCATAAATCCCATTTCAAAGGGATGGGTTTGTGTTTGGTTGATAGGACCCTAAAGTATAGTTTTTATTTTTGTCAAAGAGAGCTGTGATGTACTGTAGGAGTGCAGCCAAGTCCAGTTCCAGACAATGCTTCCACCACCCTATTTTGTCATCTGAATGCTGCTACATCTGTATGTAACAAAATAGTCTTCATTGCTTTGTCACAGTGCTGTTTTTCTACTTTTTTCTTGATGAATAAAATGTATCTTCAATAATCCTTGCTGTTATTGGTTTATTCCCCTCACACACACACACACACACACACACACACACACACACACACACACACACACACACACACACACACACACACACACACACACACACACACACACACACACACACACACACACACACACACACACACACACACACACACACACACACACACACACAGAGAGAGATAGAGAGAAAAAGAGAGAGGCCAAAACGGAGAAAAAGATGGCAGGAGCAGGTGTATATCTAGGAACTAATGGCGGTGAAAGCGAGGAAGATTGGACTATGGGCCAAAAGAATGGGAAACAGGGAGATTGAGGAGTTTCGTGGTTGCAATTACACGATTCGCAAATGTGCAATTTAATTTTGCAAGCTTGTATCATGATGTGTGAAAGGTTTAACAACGGTAGCAAACTTGTAATTCTACATTTGAATACATTCAATCATATTTGAAAGCATCCATTTATGACTATGAATATTCTGTTGTGAATAACAATACACTTGAAGATTTTGAATCTGCGCGCTCTCTGAGTTCTGTCACTGTTGTCACATTGTAGAAAGTTGTGTACATTGTTAGGAAGAGATTTGCAAGTAAAATCATGATCGAAATAGATCCACACATTATTCTCCATCATGCAGAATTGTAGCTAAGCTTGTAACTTGGGAAGCTCATTCAATAATACAGACGTGGGTGATTTCTGTCCCAGGGGACTAAACTGTGCAAGTTTTTGTTCACTTTAGACCACAATTAGTTGAATGAGGTGTTAGTTAGGTGCTGGAACAAAAACCTATACACTCCTGTGTAAAGAACCTATGGTTTTCATGACTTCAATTGACTAAATACAGTTACCATTTTCCTTTATTAATCTATGCAGGTTTGTCATATGATTTCCAGGCACCTGGTTGAGATGAATACAACAATCCTCCAAGGCAGGACATTTCCCTGCATACAGGTTGAGGCCTGCTACCAGCAGGAACATGAAGCACTCCATGTCAGTAAGTCATGTATATTTAAAAAATATACATGTATAGCTAATTCTCCACTCATGCGGAGTGGAAAAAATGCTGTTTTACATTTTTAATTGGTTGGAGAGTCTTTGCAACTTTTCTGACAGACAGCACAACAAGCCTCCCCCATATACCACAACCCCACGGGCCTTATTGCTTAATTATCCAGGGCCATTGGTTAGATTGGATTTACTGTACTCACTCAAACTCATGCGCTCTCCTCCCTCTAAGTCTCCCAGACTTTTATTAAAAACGAACATGTCATCCCCCTATCCCAGGTGAGTCTGCTGGGCCATGGAACTCTGGAGCAGCACATCCAGAAAACCTGCCACCCTGTTGTCAGCTAGCAGCAGACAGTTCCCTGAGGAAGAATGCAACTATCAAAGTTTGGTATAAACTACTCAAGTTTCTTTTTTTTTGTAGGTTACAGTAAAAATAACAGGCTACTAAAGTTATTTTTTTAAACTACTTGTAACTTAAACATCTGACAACATGCATACTTTCTCCATCAAGACAACACTTACAGCTTATGATCGAAAAAGGTTTAAAATCAATGAAAGTCTCAAAAGGTGAATACATTTTTATTAATGTATATAAGACATCACACAGGGGTGCCAACTAAAATATATAAACTCAGCAAAAAAAGAAACATCCCTTTTTCAGGACCCTGTCTTTCAAAGATAATTCGTAAAAATCAAAATAACTTCACAGATCTTCATTGTAAAGGGTTTAAACACTGTTTCCCATGCTTGTTCAGTTAACCATAAACAATGAATGAACATGCACCTGTGGAACGGTCGTTAAGACACTAACAGCTTACAGACGGTAGGCAATTAAGGTCACAGTTATGAAAACATAGGACACTAAAGAGGCCTTTCTACTGACTGAAAAACACCAAAAGAAAGATGCCCAGGGTCCCTGCTCATCTGCGTGAACGTGCCTTAGGCATGCTGCAAGGAGGCATGAGGACTGCAGATGTGGCCAGGGCAATAAATTGCAATGTCCATACTGTGAGACGCCTAAGACAGCGCTACAGGGAGACAGGACGGACAGCTGATCGTCCTCGCAGTGGCAGACCACGTGTAACAACACCTGCACAGGATAGGTACATCCGAACATCACACCTGCGGGACAGGTACAGGATGGCAACAATAACTGCCCGAGTTACACCAGGAACGCACAATCCCTCCATCAGTGCTCAGACTGTCCGCAATAGGCTGAGAGAGGCTGTGCGTTACAGGGAAGACATCCTCCTTCCTCATGTGGTACCCTTCCTGCAGGCTCATCCTGACATGACCCTCCAGCATGACAATGCCACCAGCCATACTGCTCGTTCTGTGCGTGATTTCCTGCAAGACAGGAATGTCAGTGTTCTGCCATGGCCAGCGAAGAGCCCGGATCTCAATCCCATTGAGCACGTCTGGGACCTGTTGGATCGGAGGGTGAGGGCCATTCCCCACAGAAATGTCTGGGAACTTGCGGGTGCCTTGGTGGAAGAGTGGGGTAACATCTCACAGCAAGAACTGGCAAATCTGGTGCAGTCCATAAGGAGGAGATGCACTGCAGTACTTAATGCAGCTGGTGGCCACACCAGATACTGACTGTTACTTTTGATTTTGACCCCCCCCCCCTTTGTTCAGGGACACATTATTCAATTTCTGTTAGTCACATGTCTGTGGAACTTGTTCAGTTTGTCTCAGTTGTTGAATCTTGTTATGTTCATACAAATATTTACACATGTTAAGTTTGCTGAAAATAAACACAGTTGACAGTGAGAGGATGTTTCTTTTTTTGCTGAGTTTATATCCAAAACAAGACTGAAGAATATGACAAATAGGCTGCGTTTAGACAGGCAGCCCAAGTCTGATCTTTTTTCACTAATTGGTATTTTGACCAATCAGATCAACTCTGAAAAAGAGCTGATTTTTCCAATTAGTGGAAAAAAGATCAGAATTGGGCTGCCAGTCTAAACACAGCCAGGGACAAGTGAATATAAGTCAGTTCTTGTGTTCGTAGCAGTTTGTATGAATTACAGTTGTTACATACAGTACATGTTAAATGGCTACAAGACAGAGATAACGAGACTCTTGTTGTAATCAAAAGGGGAAGGTACCACTGAAGGGCTAGTATTCAGTCAGGCAGCTTGAAGCAGATGTGTGTCACCATCCAGGCCCTTGTCACAGCATGGAGTGGCCTGATAGGGAGATGACAAATGAATGATGTACCTTTCATCACCAAAGCAGTGTTAGCATTTACTTCACGTTACTGAACAATCCAACCATTTTGTTAGTATAATTGATCTAAATGGGCAATTCACATACAACATCCAATTCATAAGCATTTTACTAATACCTCTAGGGCAGGGGTGTCAAACGTACGGCCCGCGGGCCGGATCAGGCCCGCAAACGGGTTTAATCCGGCCCGCGAGATGATTTTGAAAAAAATGAAAAATAAAAAAATAAAATGTATTTTTATTTTTTTAAGTATAAAAATGCGCTGCAATTTTTCAATAAAATAAACTGCTGTTCCAATTGCGTCCACTGGATGGCGCAATAGCAATTGTGTTAAGCAAGCAAACTGTTTATACCGGGGCAGAGCAAGTAGGTCAAGCACGTGCAACCAATGAGCTACTTTGTTTTGCCAGCGATATTTATTACAGCTTCTACTTTTAACATTATGTGCTTTGGCATCCTCATTGCCCCAATATGTCTGTCAAAAAAAAGAAAAGTGGACGCAGAGTGCAGAGTGTTCCTAGAAAAATGGTCATCCTATTTAATCACGGAATTGAATGGGAAAGCTGTATGTTTGGTGTGTTCAGAGCATGTTGCAGTGCTGAAAGAATATAACCTTCGTCGCCACTATGTGAGTCTTCATGCCGACAAATATGACAACTTTTAAGGACAGTGGAGATGAGAGAAGGTGAATGAACTGTTGGCGGGTCTGAAGAAACAGCAGTCTGTGTTTACTCACAGCCGAGACATCAGTGACGCTGCAGTGAAAGCTAGCTACCTCATTGCTAATGAAATCGCAGTGGCTTCAAAACCATTTAGTGAGGGTGAATTTGTAAAAACATGCATGATGAAGGCAGCGGAGATTGTGTGCCCTGAAAAGCGGCAGGCTTTTGCAAATATCAGCCTGACAAGAAACACAGTTGCAGACAGGATTTCCGATCTTTCAGTGGATTTGGACAGCCAGTTGAAGCAAAAAGTAAAGTCATTTATTGCGTTTTCGGTTGCAATTGATGAAAGCACGGACATTACAGATGTTGCACAACTGGCCATTTTTTCATCCGCGGAGTTGATGACACATTGACCGTCACCGAGGAGTTCGTGAAGTTGGTGCCGATGACAGATACAACGACAGCAGCTGATATTTTTACCGCACTCGTCTGCGCGCTGGACAGGGTCGGAGTGGACTGGTCCCGCGCTGTCAGCCTGGCTACAGATGGTGCGCCCTCAATGATCGGGAAAAAAGCAGGCGTTGTGACAAAGTTCAGAGAGAAAGTGCAATCTGCAAATGGAGGACGTGATTTTTTGACTTTTCACTGTATTTTGCACCAGGAGGCTTTGTGTTGCAAGTCATTAAAGATGGATAACGTCATGAAGGTGGTCATCCAAACTGTTAATTT